GTCCTGTTCTCTGGGGGTTAATTTCCTAGTTCCCGCGCATTTTCTGACCTTGTCTGTACAACAGTCCCGTCACCTGTGTGAGAGCTGGTGTCTACCCAGTAGTATTTTTACTTGCTAGCCTCATTCAGTTTGTGTTGTTTGAAGAACCCAGGGTCTGCATAGTTCAGCACATCATTTAACAGGGTGCAGTGTGTAGCAGAATTCTCCCCACTTGTAGATTTTAAGTGGTCCTGTATATATACATATAGGTATATGTGCCACTTCTTTTTCTGTTCTCTCTTCTCCTGTCACTTCCAGCACACGGTTTTATGTACCATCTTATACAGTAATGTCTTCAAAGTCTATTTTCAGCCCCGACCTCTCTCCTGAACCCAGGTTCGTTTGTCCAACCGCCTGCTTGGAAATTTTTCTTTGGATTTCTTACAGACATCTTGGATGTGATGTATCCAGATAGAACCGTTCTTCCCTCAAACTCCCCCTGCACAGGCCAAGAACTTTTACTCTTTCTGGCTTTCTCTTCCATCTTCCACATCCAGTTCTTTTGTATATTCTGTAAAAACATATCTCAAACCTGACTGCTTCCCACCATCTTCACTGATGGTCCTAGTCACAAGCTTCTCTCACTTAGATTATTTCTATAAACTTCTAAAATACTGGGTTAAATATGGCCTTAAAATAAGCTTAGAATATTTCAATATTTATTCGTACATTCCATGCCCTAGCCTACACACACACACACACACACACACACACACACACACACACACACACACGTCTTTCTTTCTCCTTAGCTCTCTCTTTCTTTTTAGAGAACTTTAAAAAAAAATTGAAATCATTTTAGATTTATAGAAAAGTTGAAGACAGTTGAATCTCTGCATACCCTTCCACCAATTTCCCCTAATGTTAACATCTTATGTAACCTTAATACATTTGTCAAAATTATGAAATTGACATTAGTACATTTACTATTACCTAGACACTTTATTTGGATATCACCAGGTTTTCCACTACTGTCCTTTTTATGGTTCAGAATCCAATCTATGATCCTACATTGCATTTCGTCATCGTTCTCCAGAGTCTTCTCTGACCTGTGACAGCTTCTCAGCTGTTCCTTGGTTTTCACAACCCTGACAGTTTTAAAGATGTTCTGTAGAATGACCCTCAGTTTGGTTTTCCTCGGTACTTTTTCCAGGATGAGACTGGAGTTAAGGATTTTTAGGGAGAATGCCACAGAGGTGAAGTCTCTTCTCATGACATCGTATCAGGGGCACATGGTATCTATGATTATTGTTGGTATCATTAACGTTGGTTGGTTCAGACGGTGTCTGCCAGGTTTCTCCACTGAAAAGTTGCTACTTTTCCTTTTCCCTCCTCTTTGGAAGGGAGTCACTAAGTCCAGCCCACTCTCCAGAGGAAGAGAATTAAGCCCCACCTCTTGAAGGAGGGGATATTTTATTTGTAATATAATATTTGTAATATGATATAAAATCTCCTTTCTCTTTTAAATCATAAAGTGGCCTATCAGTTAAAAAGAATAGTTCAGGGCTTCCCAGGTGGCGCAGTGGTTGAGAGTCCGCCTGCCGATGCAGGGGGGACGGGTTCGTGCCCCGGTCCGGGAGGATCCCACGTGCCGCGGAGCGGCTGGGCCCGTGAGCCAAAAAAAAAAAAAAAAAAAAAAGAATAGTTCAAAGATTTCTTAAATACATGTGGCATGTGTTGCCATGTTGTTTTATTTGTGTATGTATAACTATTAAATACAGATTAAATAGTATATATTTTTTTAATTGCCATTGTGGAAATTGCTTGTACATATTAAACGTTGCAGCAATTTCTCAATTGCCTTTATGAACGAGACAAGACAAGTTATCTTCTTTTGAGGCCAAGGCTGGCCGAGGAAAGGGGCAGGATCATTTGTTATGCTTTCTTTTCTTCCCAGACTCACAGAAATTCTCTTTCAGTACTTGAGGAATCTGTGTGTTCTCAGTCTTATCAAGAGATCACAAGAAGGTGAACAGAGTTCTTAGATTAACTTTGTCTTTATTTTCAAATGCACGTATTTACTAGTCAACATTTTTAGAAAGGGGGGCAAAGGAGATCATACTATCAAGCAAGTAATGATACACAGCAATTCTAAAAAATATTAGATGTCACTGAAAAAATCAATATCAATGAAAATAATTTTAAAATTTTAATATTCTTAAATACACTCATGCATTTCTTTAAACTGTGATGATTAATAATCACATATTTTTTAGTTCAGATGGATGCTTCTTGCCCTTTTTTCTCTCTCTGCCCCCTTCCCTTCTCTATTCTTAATCTGATGCTAATTTTTTACACATGTTCCAAATATACTAAGCACAAGCTTTGGTTTATGACCGGAACCAATACCACATGTCTTATCTAATTATGTAAGTATGGTTTAGTGACATTAAGAGAATAAGGACACACACGCACAGTACCACTAGGATTGGGGCAGTAAGTGCCTTGATATTGCTCATTTGCGTCCAGCCCGTGCAGTTTGATCAGTGGATGGTCCCTCCGCACGCAGCAGGACAGCAGCCCCTCCTGGGTCTGTCTGCAATCGCTTAGCCCTCTTGGTGTTTGCAGGCTTTTGCAGCCACTGTTCACAAGGTCTTGGCCACAGCACATTCATTGCTCTCACTTTATTACCATCGCATCTGATTCCAATTTGCTAGCAAATTGAGTTTCCAGTTCCAAGCCTGACATTCAAGCCGTCAGGTGGATTAGCTCCTCAGCCTGGTTAGCACAGACCCTGCAGGTCATTGACAGTGGTCTATTAAATGTCCTGGAACCTCGGCCGCCATCCTGGGGAGCAGCAGTGCGGGGTTACCCACTGTGACCTTTCTTCTTGTTTAGAACTCATAATTCTAGACCTGTTGGAAGGGCTTTCTGATTAAAAACAGAGTCGGTTTTCATCCCTTATCTTGCCGTTTCAGCAGTTTCTTCTCATAGCAAAGCAGCCAGTTTACAGTCGGGTCATTTGGTGGAATATGATTGATTGAACTATTTGGGGATCATTTATTTGGCCCTTCTCCTCTCATATCTTCTGAGCGATCTGTTTGCGTACAGAACTGAAACAACATCTGACTTATTTTTTTCTGTTTTTAATGATAGCACCTCAGGTACGCCTCCTTTTCTTTTAATACTGCTGTCAGATGAATTTACAAACAGCAGTATTTACTTATTTAATTGAGCTCTAGGCCTTTTGCTATGTAGTGGGTCTCAGTAATTTCTTTTTTTTTTTTATTGAAGTTTATTTGATTTATAATGGTGTGTTAGTTTTAGGTGTACAGCACAGTGATTCAGTTATATATATGTATTCCTTTTCAGATCAGTAATTTCTTTTTAAAAGAAACCCTCTGGTGAATGATTACTTCTAGGCAGTTCTCCTTTTTTCTTTTTTTAACCTGAATACAAACAGATTTCTCAGTGCTTGTCATAACGTAAGACACCCATAGAGACAATTACTCATTGGTGTTCTATTTACATTTCAGTTCCCAAGGAAAACTGTCTTGGTCAAAGACTTTACTCTTCTCATTAGAGGCTTTAGTAAATAAAGGTATATTTATGTTTCAGAATCAGGGAGCCAACTTCAGCAAACGCTATAATTTCTTGGGGCTAATGAAGGATTAAAGAAAAACTCGAAACAAAACAAAACAAAAGCATTTCACCACTGAACCCTGCAGTCCGTGAAAAGAAAATGGTTAGCTATTGGGAGAAGGAAGAAAATACTCTGCCCCTAGAATTGTTTTTTTTTTTTTTTCTTGCAATTAAACAGTGATCTGATTATTATAACTCTGTATCAAAATATATTTTCCAGTTAATAAGTGAGTAAAGTAATAACTTTTGATAAGTTCTGTTTAAGGCAGGATCCTCCTCTGGGCTGCTGCTCTTAAGTCCATTTTTTGTAAGCTGTGATGGAGCAAATTGCATGGTTTAGAAGATGTGAGGCCACAGGCCATGACAAACATTTAAGGATCCAATAAAAATAGGGAACAGGAAAGGTGAGTTTGAAGCTGAAGGGGAAGCACCTTTCAAAAAATGATGCTTGAGCTCCTGGCAGGCAAAAAAATAAATGATAATTATGGGAAGGAAAGCCCAAATTTAGTCAAGGCTTTCAAATTTTGAGTTAAAATAGCCAGGTGACTCATTACTTCCTATTCTTTAATTATTGTCATCAAGTAATCATTCTCGAGTGCCCAGGCTTCTGAAAGCTCCATTAGTGGGTGGAGGTATTTCTGTATCCCTTTTTGTTTGTTTGTTTGCTGGGTTATTTTGTTTTATTTTCCCATAGACTCTCTCTAGAAAGGTAGATAATGATCTTAATTTGAGATAAGTGTGAGAGCATCCTTTGAAACTATAAAGCACTATATTAATTGTTGTTGCTGTCTGGTTACCTTTTTAGAAGTTCGTTATCCTACTTTTAAATATCCTTAATCATAAGTCACATTTGTTTTAAGAAATAATACCAGAAGGAAAACTTTTGCTCTATTTCTTTTTTAAATTATAATCTTTGGTAGACATAATGTTTTGCATGAGTTTATTTCTGTTGGAGGCAAATAGTCTGATTTCACTACCCTTTTCATTTCACCTTTCACTTAGTTATAATTCTGCAAAATTTCTCCTCCTCCTTCTGTTTCCTTTTTGGATAAGTTCTTTGGTTGCTCAGATTTCCCTTACCCTCAATTATAGGGTCACGTAGCTCAACTCAGTATTTGACTGTCATTGCTTTGGGAGGATTGATGTCTTTTCTGCTCTGGAATTTAGGTAAACAGGGTTTGTACCGTTAAATACAGTGTATAAAGGGAACAGTGTCAGAAGGGATCCGGCATAAAATAATTACACTAAAATCTTTTCAGTATAGAAAATGCCAAATCAAGCATAGTAAGGATGATACATTTTATGTTACCTGTTCGGTGTCCTAGTAGTCTAAGGCTAATGTAGCATCTCATATACATGTTTCGTTTTTTCTTTTGCAGAAGGAGCTGAGTCTCCCCAGAAGAGGAAGTCTGTAAGTAGAATAATTTCTTTATTGATTCATTTGTATTCTGGGATACGGTTTGTAATGTCATTATTCTCTGACTTGTTAGATTTTCAATGGCAATCAGAAGATTAATGATAATCAACTGAATTAAGAAAACACAAAGCTTTGCATTTATTTAGAAATGTCAAATGTTAATGATTTCAAGATAAGTTGAAGAAAGTTTCCAGGGTTCCTTATGGGCATTGTAAGCCATTGTAAGCCATGCATATTTATTCCTGGGATAATCTTTTTTTTTTTTTAATTTTACTTTATTTAGTTATTTATTTTTATACAGCAGGTTATTCCTGGGAGAATCTTAAATTTAAAAATTCTATTATGTAATCAAGCAGAAACATTATTTGGTCTGCAGATAGTTTAAAATGATCTGACTAAAGAATTAGTGCTTATCTACATGATCTGGAATTCTATGATCTTTATACTCTGAATTTTACACAGAGTAAATGATATACTTTTGCCTTTGAATTGATGAAGACTTTGCATCAGCTAAACTTTCTATTAGATCTAGACCTTACTGCACTGATTCGTGTAATGCTCTTATATTAAAATAGCAAATTTGTGAACATTGACTTGATTTCTTTATAGTATGTTTCCACCTTTTATTTTTAAGGCTGATAATATATTTGCATAAATCATAGTTTTCTGCATCAGCAAATTGCAGAATGAAGTTAATTGCCTTTAATATTCTACTAAGGTAGATTTACTATCAACTAGTACTGTGTAAGGGCTGGTCTAGAAATATTTGGATTTGGTATCTGATTTATGCTGAACTTAGTGGATGGGGCAATGTCCTTTTTAAAAAAATAAGTCTAATATTTAAGATAAATTCATGCAAATCTCAACTTGGAGGATTAGAAACGTATGTGGTGACTGTTGTAAGAATTCATTCTTTTGACTCAATTTTGGGAAATTTCAGTCTTTGCGCCTAGGAACCAAAACTTTGTGAACCATGCATATTTTATTGCTCTCCATTTTGGTCTGTACTTTTTTAGTTGTCAGGAGAACACTGGATCATTATTCTTGGAGAATGTGCCTAAATAAATTTTCACTCGCTCCCAGCTTACATCTCTGGACACTACAGGTTAATGGCCTAATAGTTTAGCATAGGAAATGTCCTTAGAATCAAAAACTTCCATTCTCCTGCATTATGATTAGGACTCTTTTGCCTAGACTTTAAAAGTTTAAACTTTTTGATATTTCCCAACATGATGAGAAATCAGAAACAAGAAACACAGAAATATCTACATAAAATATCTTTGTAGACAGAAATCTCTTTTCCTTCATAATTTTGTATGCTTAAAGCATCTTAGGCTTGTTTTGTACACGTTATTTAAAAACTTTAGAGCTTCCTTTTAGCCTTTATAATAAATGGTGCTTTTTTTTTTCCTGTTTAAGTTAGTATGTTTCCTGCAAATTATTATTACAATAGTGTTAGTTAGCAAAGTAGATTCCTTATACCTAATGAAGGGCCATATCTCCTTTTGCACTTGTGTAAGTCTCAATTCTGTTCATGTTAGCTGATAGCCATGAGTTGATGGGGGAACTACACGATAAGGAAAATATTTAAATTTCTCTGTTGGAGAGCATGGACTCTTTAATAAAGAAAAAAACAAACAAAAAAAACTGATGGCATCAGTTTGTTTGGAGTACATGCTTTGAATACTTAGTAAGATAGAATTATATTTAAGCCAATTAAAATCCCCTCCTAATAAAAACCAGTTGCTCTATCAATCAGATGATGGGACTAAAAGTCATATATATATGTCAACATAAATCTACCTTTTTAAGTGAATTTTGGAAAACTGAATAATTGCAAGTAAAGCACGCAAGAAATAAACATGCTATTTTTAAATTTTCTATTAAATACAAATATTCCCCGAAGAATTAATGACTTATGACATAGATGTTCTGGGATGTAATGCCACTCTGAGTTTTCAGTGACCACCACACAGGATGCCAGTCATTACTCTCCTCATGCAAGGTTCTTTTACGACTTTGAGAAAAAGAAAATACTTATAAGATAAATGCTCAAGTGATTTTAATACAAATCTGATAAAGAAGAGCACAGGTGTGTTTTTATTAGGTACGGGTGCTAGCCCGCATCATGGTACCTGATCATTAAACGTGTTAACACTTCCTCTGTTTATTTACTGCATAAATGCTTTCAAGTCTTTTATTACCTTCTCCCAGAAAGATTGAGGATTTGATCCTGCTCTTCTGTTGAGTTGTCTTTCCATGTCCACAGCAAGCAACTGTGCAATGTGATGTATTCCTCATTGTCTACGGTACCCGGCAATGCGACTGAACTTGTCAGAGGGGGTGTACCTTCAGAAAAGCTGTGCTCTTGGAAGAAGGCACCTGATTTTGTTACATCTGCCACTTTTAATGTGTATGCCTTGAAGGATAATAGTTTTAAAATGCACTTTCATCATTCAGACACATAGATTTATCAGATTTTTTAAAAATTTTAGTATTGTCTTTAAAAGATTTTAAGTAAGCTTATAGACAATGTTTGTCTGGAATCATGTGATAAAAACATATTTGTTGTATAAAGCATGTATATATTATATAACAGTTAAAGCTTTTACAAATAAAAGAACACAGAAAATAGGCTTTTCTTTTTATTACTAATTGAAAAGGATAAAAAAGCAACCTATATTCTTTCTAGAAAAAAAGGAATCCAGATCCCCACTAATTTGTAATCTACGATCATTTTTCTCAAGGACTAACTTGAAGTCTGTGTTTCACAGGTGTTTTGAAAGGTTGCAAAGACAATGATGTGACTTTTCCTTTTTTAATGGTGCAAAGGTCAGCCGACAAGAGAGATCAAGGGAACTTCTTTCTAGACCTGATGTTACTAAAAAACCAAGTGACCTCCCGATCAGTTTTCCAGAGGCTCTTCCAGCCCTTTACCAACCTCAAGGTCCCAAATCCCGTTTCTGCTCTAGCTCCCTGTATGGGTGGATTTTAGCTAGCTGTCTTCTCCTTACAAAGAGTAGCCATTTTCCCAGATTCTTCTAGCATGTTCTTGTCTTTCTCCTTGGAACAAAAGTTGCCATAGTCTCTGCTCCCTTTCCTCTCAGCTACCTGTCAAAATCTGTATATCCTTTGAATAAATCATGATACAGTCATACAGTGAAATACTGTACGGCGGGTAGGATGATTGAACTAAAGAAGATGCGTCAACAAGTATAATTATAAAAAGCAAACAATGCTGAGCAAAAGCTAAAAGCAAATTCCAGATACAAGATAACATTGATGTTGTAAAATTTCTAACAGCGAATCTAAACTGTCCATATTTATTAAAAAATTCCTAGTGTTGTGGGTCCCTTAACTAGTCTTTTGAACTTGGGTCCTAAAATGACATTTCAAAGTGGCAAAGCTCTCTGGGTGGTGTTTGTTTTCAGACAGGGAAAGTGGAAAAAGGGTAAAAGCCCAAGGTGTGAGCTAATGGATGGTTCAGAGCAAAACCAAGGTCCCCTTTAATTTTAAAGGACCCCCTCATGTTTTGTTAATTGCTCAAATAAACAGCTCTCTAGTACAGAGGGAGCTTCTTTTCTTCTCAGAATTCCCTGGAGAGAGGGGCAGGAAATTGGCTGGGCCAGCTACCTTGCCTCCTCCAATGCTGATTTTTAATGATCTTTAAGACCCCCCCCAAGCCCCCTGCACAGAGAAAGAAACTGCACTGTCTCTTCTTAGCAATTAAATTCTCCTTGCTACCCAAAATTAAAATAGCCTTTCTTCTACGTCTTTTAATTGTGAGCATGAGTGCATTGTTTCATGGAGCCCTGTAGTTCAGGGATCCTTAGGACTATCTGCAGTTATCACTTTATTTTAGTAGAACAGTGACTGACACTTGGTCAGTTAGTTTCTTGGCTTTACGTTGTTTGGCCACACACATCTAGCAGCAGAAACCCAAAGCAGAAAGCAGCTCCTCCTGTGCACAGAAGGCCTGGAGAAGTATGTTTCTGCATGCTGAGGAGTTTCTGGGAGTATTGAAAGTATTAAAAGTAATTTAGGGGGCTTCCCTGGTGGTGCAGTGGTTGAGAGTCCGCCATGCCGATGCAGGGGACACGGGTTCGTGCCCCGGTCCGGGAAGATCCCACGTGCCGCGGAGCGGCTGGGCCCGTGAGCCGTGGCTCCTGGGCCTGTGCGTCTGGAGCCTGTGCTCCGCAACGGGAGAGGCCACAACAGTGAGAGACCCGCGTACCGCAAAAAAAAAAAAAAAAAAAGTAATTTAGGGGTCTTCTCGGTTTAATTTCAGTTTCTCAACCTAGCAGCAATACTAGTGTTTAGCAACTATTTGTCTCCATAGAGTTTTGTCCCTTCTCCATTCCCTTTTTCCTTTTATCATTTTTCTGAGATGGTTGGGGTCCAGTAGGGCTGGCCACAGACTAAGTAGGGTGAGGTGCTGCTGGCGTACAGTGGTTTCAGGTCTGCTAGGAGGTCCATATTCCTCTCCACAAAGAAAACAGGCATCTTAAAACACACTTACCACAGTGCCAGACATCCATTCAGTTGGATCTGAAAGAACTGAAATTCATTCAGTTGGATATTAAAGGTCTTTTCTCCTCGGGGTCTCATTGAAATGTATATACCTTTGGGCACGGTGTCCCTGAGCTGCATTTAGCACAGCAGAACACGAGTCATTAATGGGATGCTTCTGGTGGTCTGGCGACAGACAAGGAGAGCTGTTGTCAAGAACCATTTTGCCACATGGATAAGTTAACAAGTATATGAAAAAGGTGATAAACTTGTCTCACGTCTTTCCCATATTGTCTCTCTTGGGCAGGAGCAGGAAAGGGTGTTTGGGTGGGATGGAAGAATGGAGTGAGCCACAGAGGGAGAGAGTGTTGTCACAGTGCTTAGGATGACAGAGGCAGAGGACCCCGAGGGTTACTGGAAGCTTCTGGGTGGAGCGGGGCCTGCTGGACTCAGAAGACAGTTTGTCTCACTGTAATTAGATTGAA